GTTTATTATAAGTTGAATACAAAGATTTAAGTAATTATTCAAATTCATCGAAGTAGAATTTGAATTTCAGACTTCTTGCATAGCAGTCTGGTAACCTAACTACTATACTAAGATTATTAAACCTTAAAGATAGCTAATTCTTAATATATTTGATACTAATTTAAGCTTAATATCTTTAAGTATTTTTTGCTATTTTTGTTCTGTAATTTTTTTGCTAAATATTACATATATCTCCTTATTTATTTTATATATAGATTTGTATACTTTGATTTACTTTCTTATAAGTTTGCTATTATTAATTTGACTCTTTAAAAATTGTTTTATAAAATAAAATCTTATTTCTTATCATATTTTTTCTTTTTCTATGATTAAAACTAGATTTTTTTCATTCTTTACTAAGATTCTATTTAATTTGACTTTGTTTAAAGATCTTTTTAAAAGACTATATAGTATATTACTAGTTGAAATTTGCAAAAATAGCACTAAATTAGCAAATATTTAGCATACTATTCAGCAAATATTCAGTAAATATTCAGTAAATATTTAGTTATTATTTAGTACAATCGCTACTACTTAATATTCACAAATACTAAGTAGTAGCGATTATACTAAATGATAACTGAATATTTATAAATGTTTACTAAATATTTGCTAAATAGTATACTAAATATTTGCTAATTTGGTGCTATTTTTGCAAATTTCAACTAGTATATATTTTAGTTCTCTTTAAATTGCAGTATATCTATTATCTATATGCTTATTTATCTCTATTAAACTTTTTTTTCTTATTAAGCTTTTATATGTATTATCTTCTACTAGACTTTTAAGTCATTACCTTTTTGATCTGTTTAGTTTTCTTCTGTTATCTTTTTTATTTCTATATTTAGCTTTCTATTAAGCTCTCTAATTTTGTTAAACTACTTGGTTCTCTCTTCTTTTACTATATATTTGTTTTTGTTTTTTTGCATATATTTAATAAACTTTTTCTAGTACTCTTAGTTCTTTTAGTATATTATTACTCTTACTTAGATCTTAAGAAGAGCAGATATCTATCTTGACTTTTTTATTTAGAAATATTTTATATATACTATTAAGTATATATCCTGATATTATATTTTAAAGCTTATCTATACTTTTTCTTTTACTTTGCATTTCTATATTATATTCTTCTAAGTTAAAAACTAGTTTTTTTTTAAGTATTTTATCTAGTTTTGTACTATATACTTCTTATTCTTCTTTAGTTATATTTTCTAATTCAAGATATATTTGTTCTTTTTTATTTTCTTAGTATATACTTTGGATCTGCTCTTCTATTTAAATCTTGTTTTTTTTTTTTTTTTTTTTTTTTACTTGATACAACATGCCATCTGCCAAACTTTTTATTGGTATTGATAGTGAGTAAATAATTATATATTGTGAGAGTACAACTAGCTACATATACAACTTTAAATTGTCTAATTTAAGTAATTCACCCAAAGGTTCTATACTAGCTGCTATACCTAAAATCTATTTGAAGATTACCTATTTAAACCCTCTGGCCCTATGACACTTACTCATATTCTATCCTTTTCTACTAAGTTCGCCTAATCCTGTACTACTTCTCTAGGAAGATACCTGAGCTAACATGTATCTACAAACTTTAAGATTCGAAGACTATACTCATCTCAAGTACCCTACTCCAACTTCCTAATCTATATGTGCTGTGGTATCTAACTATGCTATGCTATATCCCAATTTAGCTTGCATATACTCTTGTTCGATGTTCGTACAAATCTAGTTCCTACTGTGGCCTTCTACTAAGTTAGTTATTCATGCTTTTAAATATCTCATGAAGTAGATTCTTTCAAATCTGTTACTTGGTGTTGCCTACTTTGCCACTAGATATCACACAAGACAGATCCTCTCAAATCCAGTTAGTGCCAAGCCATGTTGATATTGCTATATAATCATATGTAACAGACTTACTCATACCTGTTTCATTGATCCTTCTGTACTCAGGACTTACTTGTATCTATTTCGCTAATCTTTTCATACACAGATTTTCTTTCTCAGATCAGACGTTAACTGGTATAACTGTCAAAATCTATACTACTTTATCTAACTCGAGATTTCTACTATGCAGGTCCTCTACTTATAGATCCTATCAAAATTTATTCATATAATGTTATGCCTCACTGAACACCTTGTTACACTTTCAATACCCCAATTAGTATTGGTGCAATGTGATTTACAGAGTTACAACTTCAGAAACAAGCAGAGTTTTACTATAAGTTGGATACAGATGTCTAGATAATTATTCAATTCTGTATATAGTAGGATTTGAACTCTAGACCTCTTGTATAGTAGTCTAGCAACCTAACCACTACACTAAGATCACCAGACCTTTTAAATTTTGTTATAAACTATACAAGTACAATCTTGTAATTACTACTTGTAATATATTCTGCATTTGAAATTTTGCAATTAATAATATCTTAGCTTAAATCTTTTGATATCTAAATATAGTCTATTTTTGAGTTAAACTTTCTGTTAGACTAAATATATTCTCTTTAGTAAGAATATATTAATCTAAATATATTTTTATAGTTTAAATTTTTTAACTATATTAAAAGTAAAAATGTTTAGGCTCTTTTAAAATCTTTGTTATTTGATCTAGAGACTTTGATCTAATATTATTAAAGTTATCTATTATAATAATTTTTGTACTTCTTTTTTTATTTTTTCTAATTTTTTTAATTATATAATATTAAAGTCTAGTAATTTTAATATAGTAGTTAAGTTATCAAACTACTATATAAGAAGTTTAGAGTTCAAATTCTACTATTGACAAATTTGAATAATTACTTAGATCTTTGAATTTAACATATTATAAACCTTGTTTATTTCTAGAAATTGTAACTCTATAAATCATATTGTACTAATATCAATTAGATATTAGAAGTATGATACAATATTTGAGTTATATTATATGAATAAATTTTAATAAAATCTACAGACAGAAGACCTGTATAGTAGAAATTTTAAATTAGATGAAGTAGTACAGATTTTAATAGTTATACTAGTTAATACTTAATCTAAAAAAGAAGCTTATATATAAAAGATACAGATTGAGTAAGTACAAGTAAGTTCATTATATAATATAACTTAGTATTTTGTATTAGTAGCAATACTAACTTGGTTTAGTAGCTAACTAAATTTGAAAGAATCTGTTTTATGAAATATCTGAATATATAGAGAACTAATCTAGTAGAGAGCTATGTTTAGAACTAAGTTTGTATAAATATCTATAAAGGTATATGCTAGCTTAATTAGAATATAGTATAGTATAGTTAAAATATTTTACAGACTCTATCTAAAGAATACAATAGGATATCTTAAGATAGAGCTCTTATTAATAAAGAAATCTGAGGTACAAGCTAGTCTAAACAGTTCTTAATAAAGTAGCACAAAATTATACAGGTTTAAGAATAAAATTGAGTTAATATTAGAGATAACAAAATATCAAAAAGTTTAAAATAAAATATTTATAAATAGATACTAGATATAGCAATTAGTAAGTAACCTTTAAGCAGAACTTTTAAATAGATAATAATTAAAATTAGGAAAATTATATTTATAACACCATGTTATATAATACCCAATCACGTGATATACAACCAAATAAACAAACAGCCCAATATTACACAAAGTCGCAGCCGGAGTTGGGAGTACGATATAAATTAGCTAATCAAAAACCATTAATTTTTGTTACACAAATAGGTTAAACGAAGTTATACAAATTAGCAAAAATGATGCTAGTATTACAATATATGGGCGAAAATCTCTAATTTCGTGATGATTTTATGTGAGTTATTAGGTTAAATAAAATTTGAGCCAATCATTTATGTGATATGGCATGATTATTGAGAATAAAAGTGATTTTTTGATCAGAGGTTTAAGCCCAATAATGAATTGCTTATGAATCGCTTATGAATTTTACTCATAAATTTGTACCTGATTGTAACCTGATGCTTATAAATTTTGTATGTATGTACCTAATTGTGGCCTAATTGTGACCTAATTACTTATTAATCTAATAATCACTATGTTTCAACTGGAGATTTTTGCCCATATGAATCAGACCAAAAATTTTTTTAGAAAATCGATTAATTGACGATTAATCGATTAGCTGATTAATCGATTAGTCACGATTAATTGACTAGTCAACTAATTGATTATCTAACTAGTCGATTAATCATCGATTAATCGATTTTCAATTTAGTCTAAGCTACTCTTGGAACATTAATGAAAAGCAGATTCTGATTTTATTTTAATGATTCTTCCATTTATAGTAATAAACTAAACTCGCGTTATACATGTACATACGTACATACAGCAAAGATAATATTGATATCGATATCGATATTGGTATCAATATATTGATAATATAGTTGAATACGATATACTTAAAACAGATATTATTAGCACCTTTATTAAATCTCAATTAGCATTTTCATAACGCAGTATAAGATATGTACTTGTTGAAAAAAGTTAATTTAGAACTGGTTATCACCTTGCTATAAATAATAAAAGAACTTTATTAATACAATATAAAAGATAGAACTTTTTTAAAAAAGAAATCATCGAACCTCTAAATGCAAAAAAGACTACTGTATTATTTGATTTACTCAAACTCTTTATATGAATGCATATAATCTATAATATAATATGAAAAAAAAGTTTATTAGCATTCATCCTAATCTTAATATAAAAGTAAAGTAATGTAAGCTATTTAAACTAACCTTAACGCAAAAGAGAAACTTCAAAAAAAACCCATTATCGTTTAACTCGTTCATACCCTATGTAGCATAAAAAAAAAACAAAACAGAAGCATACTAAGAGAAAACCTGAAATTTTTTTTCTAATAAGATTTTCTGGTTTTTTCTTGGCGTCACTGATACAGTATAAGTAATGAATATGTGAAATTTATAATGTATGCATGTACCTACGTATACACACTGCTACTTTTCTAGATTGGATTTTTTTTGTGGACATGTGCTCTTATAGTGATTAGGTTCATGACAAAGTCCATATAGTCTTGTGCTTGCACCTGATTTAGCTTTTTTTTTTGATGTATGATCTTCTTGTGTACCCTTAATATGATTCTTCTTTGGAACCCCTTTTCCAATATGATTTAAGAGATTAGCAACATTATCAATAGAAATTAGTTGATTATCATCAGTTTCTATGGCTAAAACGTTTTCTGAACTATAGTTCTCTCTAAGAATTCTCATTTCTCTTTCTTTAGTTTCTTTTTCACGTTGAAGAGTCTTTTTTTCAATGTAATTTTTCAAGAGAGTATCTAATTCATTATCATTTTCGCTATTCTGTAACATAATAGCCTTCTTTGCAAGACTCATTGATTTGTTAAATTGAAGCTTCTTGTCTACAGATTTTTGAAAGCTATTTTCCTGGACATTATCGATTCTAAGTAAGTTCATGTTTGTTGCATTATATAATTGATGTGTAATTATTGCTAATTCAGTATTTCGATTTGATGTTAAAAATGGTTCTTGAGCACGTTTAGATTCAGTTATATCATCCTTGCACCAACGAATAGGCAACAGCATTATATGGAACCTTGCAAAATCTGATTCAAGTAACACACAAAAAAAATGTCGACATACGAGCCCATGATTAACTGATAAAAGGCAAGTACATAGATGACATCCATTTTTATACAATATAACATAATAAACAGACTTAGTTGAAATCAAGCATGTAATTCTCCAAACTTCTTTAACAGAAGAATATTCATTTTCTTTAATTAAAGCCAATAAATATGATTGCGAAACATCATATGTGTTTTCAATAAAATCATCATCATATGTAACATCTTGTAAATTTAATAAATCAGAATTCCACGACTGTAAAATAGAGCAGTTAATTAAAATAGCAAATAACGATAAAAATAACCCCAATATCACCTACATACATTTAATATTTGAGCCCGGTAGATAGTTGATTGAACTATCTGCTTTTGTTGCTCAGTTGCTAAATTTGGTGTTAAATACTTATTTATTTGTTGAACAACTTGTGGAAAAACAGTCTGTAAAACAAGATTATCATTATAATTAATTCGGTCCTGAGACCACGAATTAAAACGTTGACTAAGGCTTTCACGCTCAATGCGTTGGTATATTGCTTCCATTACTTGAAATAAAGTTGATGAACTATTTATAGCAGTTTTGATATGATTATTAAGTCCTTCAACTCTCTGTGTCGATTGCATTCCACTAGTAAAAATTTTAAATGTATAAGCACATGCCCACGATTCTTTACTTAAAAATAGCTTTTGTAGATACGAAGATGTAGCCGGATAATTATTCAAAAGATTTGTAAATCTAGCCTCAAATACACTTTCACTTAAACTATTACGCGCCAAATAAAAATCTTTAATAAAATCTGTATACTGCACGCCAAGCTTACATCGAAGATTTTTTAAAAGATTTTGACTTAAATGATACAAACAAAATAAATGTTTAGTATTCAGAAGATCATGAGCTACAACATATTTCATGGAAAGATCTTCATCCGTCATTAAAATTCTTGGCAAAATTCCAGTAGCTTTTTTTAATTGCCCCATAACCCAACGAAAAGATTCAATAGTTCATCAGGCATTAAAGCCTATGCTACGATTCGTGTTTTGTTATGATTATCAATTAAAACAAAGAGGCACAAAGGAAAATTATAATGGTTTGTTTGTGCCATATTGTCTTGAACTATTATGTCACAAAACCGAATTCATCTTTCACGTTGACCCGAGTTCATCCAAAAAATTCTACGGAGACGATTACTAATAGAGTCAACTAAGGGTTCAATATACCAATTAGGATCCTTTTCTCTATATTCATAAAGTTGTTTTAAAAGCTGTGATGCTTTACTTCCTTCTACATTATGTTCTCGTCGTAACTGAGCCACAACATTTGCAAGATCACGTGTTAAGAAAAGCTGGTTGGGGTATTTAACAGATAGAAGGGATCGTATTGTTGACAGGTTACACTGACCATTTACTGTTAAATGGCGAATTTCTTCGTGACAATCATCAGAGAATCGATGATTTATAGGAGCAAAAATTTTGGTATCTGGTGAAAGTTGATGCTCAACATGGTTATCATTAAAACTAGTAATTTGAACCACACCAGTTGCAAACGACAGATTAGCTTTCCAATCACAGTTAAGTTTTTTAGAACCTTTATTATGTTGATTTTGTAAGTTATTAGTTTTCTTTGGTTGATATGTTCTACTAAATTTACACTTATAATACAGGTTTATTAAACATCTATTACGATCAGTTTTATTACGTATCTTAATTGGTACAAATCCTTTTTGACGGCCATATTCAGCAACATAATGTTCTGCAATTGACCAGTTAGGAAAAATATCATCAATAGCAAATACGATTGCTTTGTTAATGTGAGGTAATGCGCCATTAATTCCAACCAAATCTTGTCCTTTATGGGTTTCATGCACTTCATCATGTGTTTCATCATGCACTTCATCATATGTTTCATCATGCACTTCATCATATGTTCCATTATATATTTCATCACACATTTCATCACGCATTTCATCACGCATTTCATCACACGTTTCATCACATAATGTTTCTTGAGGGGAGTCTATTAATTCTTGAAAAGAATTTGGAGGGGAATTCATTACTTTTTGAGGAAGGTCCACTAATTCGTGAACAGATTTTAAAAATTCTTGAGGAGAGGAGTACAAATTTGAGACTTGATGTCTCATAAAATGTTCTGAGTTAAAAGTAAATTCCATAAATCGTAATTGTTTGGAGTAAAAAAGATCAGGAGGAAGGCTAAAAGTAATATCCGCATAGGAAAACAACCACAAAAAAGAATTAAAGGTCAATAGAATGAAATAGTTGACATCTAAAAAATAAAGATAAGTTAAATTCAGAAAATATTCTTATGAACATAAACACCATAATATCCATACCACTTTACTACAAAAAAAGCCACACTTCAATTCGACACTTCAATTAGAAAACCACCCAATAACCTTATGAAGGTACAAATAATGCAAAAACCAAAAAGCCGCACAGTGCCTTTGCAAAAGTCAGAAAACCCGTTAATAAAGAAGTTTAACATATTTTACCAAACACATTTATGAAGGCAAAAAATTACCTGACGCTTTAATTAAAGCGAAAATCACACAACACCTTTTCCAAGACAAAAAAAAGCTACCTGCAGTGAAATCACTTAGCACCAAGTGCCACCTGACACCTTTGTAATAACAGAAAGAACCTTTAAACATATTCATAAAGAAGAAACTGTTAATTAAAAGTTCGATTAAACGCTATCTCATCAATATTATGAACACAAAAACTACCTGGTACTTGACTAAAGCAAAATGAGCTACTAGACACCTTGTAAAGGAAATAAAGAGCCACGTAATACCTTCGTAAAGTGAAAGGATACCTGGTATTTGTAAAGGCAAGAAATATTGAAGAAATTCAGTGCCTACTATTCATTACACTTGCGAATCAATAAAAAAAAAGGCTGATGTCTTGATCAAAACGAGATGAACCAACAGACACCTTGTAAGGAAAGAAAGAGCCACGTAACGCCTTCGAAGAGCAATAAGACACCTGGAATTATTGTAAAAACAAGAAGCACCGTTAAAGAAATTCAGCGACTACTATTTTACTGACACTACAATTCAAAAAAAAAAATTGCCAGCACCTTGAATAAAGAAAAGCTACTCACCTTCGTAAAAGAAATACTTTGTAAATAGAGAGAGCCACCCGACACCTTGTAAATAGTAAGAGCCACCCAACACCTTTGTAAAAGCAAAAACCACCCAACACTTTTGTAAGCGAAAAAAGGTCACTTCAATATTTATAGATAATCAAAATAACGTGATATCAAAAGTTTATATATGCAAAATTAAATCATGTGATACAGTGCGATATATAACATGGTGTTATATATATAATATTTCTTAAAATTATATATATAACTAATTGTACTTTTACTAACTAATATAAACTTATAAATAATCTAATAAAAATTAACTGATATTAAGGCTTTGTTATAACAAACTCAAACAACTCTTCCTAATAATCATTTGGACCAACTTTTCAAAAAAGCTGAACTATAGAAAAATAATATAGTTAATATATTAACCTTCAAAAAAAAACCTTTCTGGAGTACTGTACTTACATAGTTGAATATTGAAATAGAATTGAAAAAGAAGTTGTAGCTTTTGAACCAGTTTAAAGTACTCTAGAACTATAAAAGAAGTAGTCACAAAAGCAAAAGTTTTCTTTTGGATAAACAACAAAGTTGAATATATTAGTTCTATACAAATGTAAAACCTACAAGAAACACTTACAAAGATTCAAAGATTCACAAAAGCTATAAAGTTGGTTCACCTTTCACCTTTACTTTTCTTTGAGAATTTTGTAAAAAGTAGGTATTTCAGTTTACCCCCTTCTAAAGATCAATACGTAAAATCTTCAAAACAGTTAGCAGTGTTTACTTTCTAAACAGGTTTGTTGATAACTTAGGTCAAAAACAAAATAGTAATACAAATATAACTATACATGTACCTTGAAGATACTAGAACTCCAAAATACTGCTTCTGGACTAACTATTGACCTATTCTAACTCTCTATGATCAAGTCGAAGTTTTTTTTCTTTCCTATATAGTTTTTTAATAAATATTCTATTAAATAAGAAAATAGTAAAATAATTCTTATTTAGTATAGTCTATAATTTTTAAGACCTATTACAGGCTTAAAATGTGATTATCTGATATTTGTGAAATGCAAATTTCATATTTTTTTTTTTTCTCTTTACCTCTTCCCTTTTTTATTTCTTGATTTGTATCTTTTATCGTCTACCCTTATACTTCTTTTTTTACATACTTAAAAATTTTTTTTGTTTTTTGCTTCTCTATGAGAAGATATTATTAGATTGGTAGTATCCTATTGTAGAGCAGCAGTCAGATAAGGTGGTCTATCTCTGATATAGATAGTGTAGTAGGTCGTACTTAGGCCTTATATAGAAACTAGATAATACTAAACTTAGGAAATTAGGTTAAATCTTTGAAAATGTATAGTTTAAGAAGTCTAATAAAGTATTAGCATGACTGCTAAAGAAAAAAAAAAAAAAAAAAGCTTTGTTGTAACAAAAAAAAAAATTATATTATATTGTAATAACTTTTTAGTTTCCTTATTATTTAGTAAAATATATACTATTATTATTAGAATTTTGACTTTTTTGAAAACTAGAAAAGTATCTATATAGTAGTTACTATATCTTATTATTATATCTATATGCTTTTTCTATATTTTGTTAATTATTAACTCTATACTAGAGTCTTTTAATTTTTTTTTTTTTAGCTGAAATCTAGAAGCTAGTATATTCTGAGTTTTTTGTTAAGCTAAACTTGTCTTGTTGTTTATTTATATTTAATTTATTTATTTTTAAAATATCTATTCTTTTAGCTTTCATCTATTTTGTTAATAACTCTAGTTTTATTAAATTTCTTTTATTTCTGTTAATATTATGAGTTGCTATATTTAATATTTAAAATTTTAAGTTTCTAATTATTTCTTCTTTCTCTTTTTCTAGTTTCTTTTTTTGTTTAATATTTCTTGTTATCTTGCAATTTACTTTTTTTTTTATTTTTTTTTTGATGTTAAGATGAGTACTCAGCTCAACTTTCATTTATTAAGAATTATATTATTCATTACAACTAATGTATATATTATAATTTCAAACTAATTCTATATATTTTTATTTAAGCTTAGGATATATAGTACTAATATATACTATCTATCCTCATACAAAACCTATTAGAGTAGTTTATAGCTCATACTATATATTACCTAGATTCTTATAAGTACTTTATTTCTTATAAGACCACTATTTTATATTCACTATATCTCCTATACTCTTTATAAATAACTCTCAAATTAGTAACTAGATGAAGTATTCGTAACCTTATAGCTACTTCTAATTTGGTATAGTTTGAGTTGTCATAACAATAGTATTCTAAAATATGAACTCACCTAAATATAATATTAGAGATAAGTTGTATATACACTATTATAAAATAGATTTTAGCATAATTTACATTATATTTTTATTAGTTATATTTATTAGTATTTTAGTATTATTTCTTGAATTTGTATTATTTTAGTATAGATATTTTATAGTATAGAAATTTGTAGAAAATATTTACCTCTAAGTAAAGTTCCTCAAAAAGCATTCAAATTAAAAAATAGTTCTAAGTAACTTTCTAGTTGAGAACCACGGCTACACAATGATATAAGTTTTATCTAAAGTTATTATATAAGATATAAAGAAAACTCAAGTAATGGCTAATATAATATTATAATTACTGTGCCAAATATTATACTATTTACTGTGCTAATCTATTTATAGTGATGCTTAAATGATATCTAAGTAATGCTTGCACAAATATCTAGATAATATCTAGATAACCTTTTAATGACTCTTTAATAACCATTCCACAAAGCTTTGCTAAAAGATATAAATACAAGTAGTTTTCCTCTCAAGTTTAATAATTTAATTTAATTCAGTTTAGATTCTTCTAAATCTCTTTCTCTAATAATGAATAGAGCTTAATCCTCTTTCCTATAGTTATAGAGTATAACTACCTTTGTATCTTACTCTAAATATATATATCTTTAATAAAATATATCGATTATAAATTAACTACCTCTTTAGAGATAAGTATAGTTCTTTAATGTAATAAGAATTATATCTTCTTTTTTGACATTGCTTTTTAAAGTTTCTAGATAGCTATATTCCTGTTATAGTTAATATACAAGAAGGCTTAAATTATACTATCTGTAACAATATTAATAATTAATTAATTTAATATAAATTATTTATTTTATTTTTTTTTTTCTACTTAAGTGATCTTGCTCTTTCCTTTATTATAGATAGTTTATCAAAAGATAATATATAGTATACTATTATATCTCGATATTACTATATACTGCTCTACAAATTTGATCTAAACTAACTCAGCTGTATTAAACATATCCAAGTTTGATCTGCTGCAGAAGCTATTTATTTTCCAAAAGTAGTTCACTATATGAACAGTACATCCTAATTTTTGATTAACAATCAGTGATTTCTAACTACTATTAAGATCCTAGATTTTTTCTAATCTAATCTAAGACTTAACTAAAAGTTGTTAATACCTAGTCTCAAGATAGAAAAAAATAAAAAATTGTTACAGATAACAAAAAGTATAAAGCTATATGCTATAAGAACGTGAGCATAATATAGAAAAACTTGCTAACAAGTGAAAAACTATACTAGCAATAAGTAGATAGAATAAAAAACAAAACAAAAAAGATAAAAAAGAAAAAGAAATAAAATTTTCTTTTTGACATAAAAAGAAAAAAGAAAAAAAAAACCCAGAGTAGTTCTACCTAAAGGCAAGTCTAAAAGCAAGCACTACTTTTAAAAATTATATATACTAGTTGCTACCTATATATATCTCTCTTTGATTAACAATTTCTAATATGTCTACTTAGTACTAATCTAACTAAGCAAGGCCTTCACAAATTTCACATAGTATCTAGTCAACAGAAGTTAATCACAAAATATATGCTACATGTGTTTACAAGTTGTTATTATTTGGTAGCATCCAATATGACTTTCCTAAAATAGATATAGTACAAATATCGATCTTTTGATAAGAATAAGCCAAATCTCTACTTTTTGTTATCGAGGAACAAAGAGAAACAATTCTAAGTCCAAAAATCTAGT